TTTAATAATGTAAAAATCATTCTTGGCTCACGGGCTGTACAAAAACAGTAGTAAGCTAGATTTGGCCTGTGGGTCATAATTTGCCCACTTCTGACCTAAAGCAGAAGAATGAAACTTTTGTCTGAATTCAGATCACAAGAGGATTTGTAAAGACACAGATTGCTGGGCCCCACTCCCAGAGTGTTTGATTCAGTAGGTCTAGGGTAGTGCCTAATAATTTGTGGTTCTACCAAGTCCCCAGGTGATGCTGATGTTGCTGATCAGGGACCGTGCCTTGAGAACCACTGATCTGGGAAGGAACTTCCCCCAATGCCAAGCTCTCTATCTGGGGTATTTTAAAACCTCCTCAGCCTTAGGAAGGATTTTCCATGATGATCACAGATTATAGATTCATTGGAGGGACCCCCCCCATCCCCCAACCATCCCCATTCTCGATGAGAATTTCTCTGTGCACTTTGCTTCCAGGATTTTCTCTTTCAGCTAGCCTCAGGACAGAATTGGGATGAGAATTTCCGGTGCATCTGTTTTAAAAAAAAAAAAAAGCCCCCCCCCCGGTCATTAAAAAATGCATTTAAAAATCTTTTATTTTGGAATAATTTTAGTCTTACAGAAAAGTTGAAAAGAGGGTAGAGAAAGTTTTCATATACTCCTCAACCAGTTTCCCTTAACGTTAACATCTTATATTACCATGGTACAGTCATCAAAGTAAGAAACCAACATTAGCACAATATTATTAACTAAACTCTAGACTTTATTTGAATTTCAACTGTTTTTCCACTGATGCCCTTTTTTCTGTCCCAGGATACCAACCAAGATATCACATTACATTTAGTTGTCATGTCTCCTTAGACATCCCTGGTCTGTAAATGTTTCTCATTGTTTATTTTTCATGACCTTGACAGTCTTGAAGGGTACTGGTCAGAATGTCACTCAATTTGATTTTTTTGATGTTTTCCTTATGACTAGTCTGGGTTTATGGGTTTTCCAGAAAAAATACTACAAAAGTGAAGTTCCTTTATCATCACCTCAAATTGGGGTACATGATATCAACATGAATTTTCACTGGTAATGTTAACTTTGATCCCTTAGTTAAGGTAGTGCTTATCAGGTTTCTTAGCTGTGAAGTTATTACTTTTCCTTTTCTATACTCAACTCTTTGGAAACTGGTCAATAATTAGAGCCCACACTCAGGAGGGAAGGGAAAAGTTAAGCTTCACTTTCTGGAGCAAGGAGTATCTACACACACTGCTTGGAATTCTATAAGGACAATGAATCTCTTCTCCTCCATTTATTTATTTGATAACATTTATATCAGCATGGGCTTAGTATGTTTACATATTTTACACTTTAGGTTATAATCCAATACTGTGTTATTTATTTTCTTGTTCAAATAGTTCTAGTTTTGGCTCTTGGGAGTACTTTCAGGTTGACTCCTGTATCCCTTTGACATGTCCCCCCTCCATCCTTTTATATTTTGAGCACTTCCCTTCTTTCTGTCAATACAAGATGCTTCAAGCTTATCTGGTATATTCCTGCCCCGGCCCTTGAATCAGTCATTTCCCCAAGGAGCCCTGTTTTCTTTCATTGGAGAGTGGTATTAGAAAACAAAATCTTGATGTTAGGTGTGCTCATTGCTACTAAAATAAAAAAAATTATAAACAATTCAAACAGTAAGGAAAAGTTTTAAAAAATTAAGTTAATAGGCCCCTAAATTCCATCATTAAGAGAGGAGGAAGCTTGACATTTGAAAATGTCCTTTTAGATCTCTCTCTAGATATATATGACATCTGTCTTTTTTTAAATAAATATTTTATTTTTTAAAATTTTTATTTATTTATTTACTTATTTATTTTTGGCTGTGCTGGGTTTTCATTGCTGGGCGCAGGCTTTCTCTAGTTGTGGCGAGCAGGGGCTGCTCTTCGTTGAGGTGTGCAGGCTTCTCCTTGCGGTGGCTTCTTTTGCTGCCGAGCATGGGCTCTAGGCACGCGAGCTTCAGTAGTTGCAGCACGTGGGCTCAGTAGTTGTGGCTCGTGGGCTCTAGAGCACAGGCTCAGTAGTTGTGGCGCACGGGCTTAGTTGCTCCGTGGCATACGGGATCTTCCCAGACCAGGGCTCAAACCCGTGTCCCCTGTATTGGCAGGCAGATTCTTAACCACTGGACCACCATGGAAATCTAGTCTATGTTAGCTAGATAGCTATCTGTCCACATAATTTTTTTTCATGCCATCCATACTCTTCTACAACCTGCTTTATAAACTCAATATGTCATGGGCATCTTTCCATATCTATAAATGAAGCCCTACTTCATTAATTTTAATGGCTGCCTTTTTCCATTTCATGGTGTATCATAATTTATTTCATCAGTCCCTCTTGATGGATAGTTAGGACCTTAGGATTGTTAGGAAACAATCTCTATTTTATATTTTTCTGTGGTCTGCTGATTATCTCCTTGGAATAAAAGGATTTTATTTTGGCTCAAAAGGCTTGACATTGTTTACCTTTTTTTGTGTGTGTGATTTCTGTAAACAGAAATTTAAAGTCCTTTTAGAAATTAAAAATGTAATAATGCTCATTATACAGTGCAGCTATGCATGAAGTAAGAGGAGAAAACATCTGCTCTCCTAAGAGGTAACCACTGTAATACTTTTGGTGTTAACTGCTAAGAGTGTGGATTTTGGAGTGAGACCACCACAAATTTCACCAGAGAATACTGTGTGATCTTGGGCAAATGACCTAATATGTCTATGCTTCAAAATTCTCATTTTAAAATGAGGATCACAATATTACCTATTCCACCAGTTTGTGAGAATGAAATAAGATGATGTATGTAAAAGAGCTTAGTACAGTTTCTGGCACATAATAAGAGCTCAATAAACACACACTATCATTATTGCTACTATTAACATTACAGTTTTTTTTTTCCCCCTGGGGATGTATATTTAAAATTTGAATAGCAATTTCTAACTTGCTCTTCTGGTGGATTCTAAAATCATTTCATTTAGATCCATTAGTTAGTTACTTTTCAAAGAGGGGTCCTCGGATCGAATTAGAACCTCTGGGGGTAGAACCCAGGAAACTCATGTTTATCAAGTTTCCCAAGGTGTTCACTAAAGTTGGAGAATCATTTTCTTACACCCTAAAAGACACAGAAAGGGAGAGGAATGGAACACCAATAAAAGGGGTCAAGCCCAGCTGGTCAAGGCTGACACTGGGGATATTTACTGGGTTTGAGACAGCATAGTGGAGGGGTTAACTCTGGTTCTGTACTAGAAGGACCTAGGTTTGTTTATTTATTTATTTATTTATCTATTTATCTATGGCTGTGTTAGGTCTTCGTTGCTGCGCGTGGGCTTTCTCTAGTTTCGACGAGCGGGGGCTACTCTTCGTTGCGGTGCGCAGACTTCTCATTGCGGTGGCTTCTCTTGCTGCGGAGCACGGGCTCTAGGCACGTGGGCTTCAGTAGTTGTGGCACACGGGCTCAGTAGTTGTGGCTCGCAAGCTCTAGAGTGCAGGCTCAATAGTTGTGGTGCACGGGCTTAGTTGCTCCGCGGCATGTGGGATCTTCCCGGACCAGGGCTCGAAGCCGTGTCTCCTGTACTGGCAGGCAGATTCTAAACCACTGCGCCATCAGGGAAGCCCCTAGAAGGACCTAGGTTTGAATCACAGTTACTAGTGTGGCCTTAGGTCATGACCCCACAGAGCCTGGCACACCTGCCTGGCTCCCTCTCTCTCCCAGTTTCTTTAAGTCTTTGACAATCGTCACTTTTTCAGCTAGGCTATCCTTGACCACACTATCTATATAAAATTGCCTCCCCGGACTTCCCTGGTGGTCTAGCGGTTAAGACTCCGAGCTCCTAATGCAGGGGGGCCGGGTTTCATCCCTGGTCAAGGAACTAGATCCCGCATGCCGCAACTAAAGATTCCGTGTGCTGCAACTAAGACCCTGTGCAGCCAAATAAATACTAAAATAAATAAATAAATAAATAAATAAATAAATAAATAAATAAATTGGGGCTCCCCTGGTGGCGCGGTGGTTAAGAAGCCGCCTGCCAATGCAGGGGACACGGGTTCGAGCCCTGGCTGGGAAGATCCCACATGCCTCGGAGCAGCTAAGCCCGTGTGCCACAACTACTGAGCCTGCGCTCTAGAGCCCTCGCGTGGCAACTACTGAGCCCACAAGCCACAACTGCTGAAGCGCGTGCGCCTAGAGCCTGTGCTCCACAACAAGAGAAGCCACCGCAACGAGAAGCCCGCGCACTGCAAGGAAGAGCAGCAGCCCCCACTCGCCGCAACTAGAGAAACCCCGCGCGCAGCAACGAAGACCCAACTCAGCCAAAAATAAATAAATTAAATTAAATTTAAAAAAATCTACCTCCTAGGGAGATACTAGGGTTGTTACGAATATTAATGAGATAATACATTTGGAGCTTGCAGCACAGTGTCTAGGCATATACTGACTGAATTACTTTTCCCCTCCAGATTTATTGAGATATAATTGATAAATAAATTGACTGGATTACTATAGATCTAAAGTTCTTCTTAGTTGGTTGAGCACCGGGATAGGGGTGAAGGGATCTTGAAATTTTCTGGCAGATTTCTACTGTTGATCAGCACCTCTGTCCCCTGCTGTCCCCTGGGTCACCTTCCCAGAGGAGTTCCCGGGTCCTCAACAATTAAACAAAGACAAGTCTAACTGGTCCTACAGCACAGAGGAGAAACAGGATAAGCAGGAGCAGCAGAGCCCTAACTTTGACCAAGACTTTCTCCCCTCCTTTCCTCAGTCTCCAGTATGTGACTCGGAAGGGATTTTAATAGCAACGGCCGCTTCTACCAGCTAGGTTGATTCTACCAGCAAAGGGGAGGAAAAGGATCCATTTAAGTGACAACTGGGGGGGGGGGTTTGCGGTGTGGGTGTCGTCCCTTTGCGCGCCGGCGCGTTTTGTCACAACCCCGCGACCATTGCGACAGAGAGAGATCGGAGCTGGCCCTTTAACAGCCCCATCTCGGGGGCCTGCCCCGCGCGTGCGCACTGCGGTTCTGCGCTTGTCATCATGGCGACGCGGGGCCATGTGCAGGACCCTAACGACAGGCGCCTCCGGCCCATTTACGGTGAGTACCTGGGGCCAGTCTGGTTGCCAGCCAGAGGCGCCGAGGGCTGCGGAGCCCGGGGCAAAGGCCCGGGAGGGGCGCTGAGGGGCCGGGAGCAGGGCTGGCGGGCACAGGGGGCGGGCCGCGCGGGCCTCTAGGCCGCAGCCACGGGCCTCGCGTAAGCGCCGGCCTGGCTTTCTTGAGCCCTGAGGTGGCAGCGGCGCGGTCAGGCCAGCGGCAGGTCGGCAGAGCTGGCCTGACAGGCGAGCCCTGTGAGACACTTCCTCTCGTAGAGACCTGCGCTACACGCAGGCTACGTTGTCGGGGCCACGCCAAGGGAGACCCGAGGTCTGCCCGCAGGTGGAAGCTGGCTCCGACGTGAGGGTGGGACATCCTACTTGAGGGAAAATTCCCCGCTCAAGACTTTTTACCTGTGGGAACGGGGCCTAAAGTGTTGTCTGACTAACTGTACTTGGTGCACATGGAGAAACAGAGGTCCCGGGAGGGGAAGGGGCTGACGCAAGGTCACCCAGATCGAGTCTGGAGCAGGCCGGGATTTGAGGATCCCAATCCAGAGCTCTTTGGCGGAGGAACAGCTGCTCTGGGCACACGTGGGAGGCGGGGGCGGGGTGGGGCGAGGCGGGGGGGGGGGGTTGGCTTGGGCCCAAAATAGCGGTGAAGCGACTGTAATAGCTCGTGTCGAGGGGCATGCAGGGCTTTTCTTTTTTGAAGCTTCTCTGGTTTTTCTCTGCAGCTTGTCTTCCGCGTGCTAAGTGGATCCCCTTCCATAACGTTGACCTCAACCCTCAGGCTTTAAGACCTTGATGGCATTCTGCTATCCCGGTTGTGAAAAATCACACATTTGAGTCAGGGAGAAATACCTCTTCAGTAACCAAGTTCAATAATTTGATAGTGGTCCCTTTTGTATTTCCTTTCCTCTTAGATGGTTGTGTGGTCTTGGTCTAGCTCAGTTCATGGTGAGGAAGGCTTCAAGTTCAGTGGTTTTTGCAGAATTAGATCTCTTGTTTGTAGTGTGGATGTTACTAAATGGGGGCTTCTTCGCAATAGCTGAGATCATTTAACTTTTTTGGAAGGGGGTAATAACTATGTTTCTGGTACAATTGATAGTGCTTTTTGTAATTTGTATGATGCTTTGCTCTTGCATCTCATTTCAACAACAACCTTGTGAGGTGAGAAATAATAATAATAGCTAATGTGTATGTATAGACTGCTAATTATGTCAGTCACTGTCCTTGGTCTTAAGTATTTAATCTTCACACATTCTTCGTAGGTGGCTACTTTCCCCCAGTCCCACTTCCCTCTCTCTCCCCCTTTTCTTTCCACAGATGAGAAAACTGGGGCTTTACTGATGTGTAATTTGTCTAAGGTCACTCAGCTAACATGAAGCTAGGATCTTAACCCCTGTGGAATGTCCCAGGCTTACTCTTTTAACCACTGTGCTAGAAATCACCTCACTTTGAGCTGGAGACACTGACTTGCCAAAGATCATGTAGGTGGAGAGTGGTGGATTTCCATTTTCCCAGGGCTACATATTCTCATGCCCTCCAGTATACATTTTAAAGGGCAGAGATGACATATGTAAGGGTGCTTGAGGGTAAGAACTGAATCCAGGGTTCACAATTGGTGGCTGGTTACAGCTCTCTGCAGCAGCTGCCTGTAGATTTTTTTCTTTTTTAACTTTTAGGAATAATTGGATTTCTAAAATTATTCTTGAGGACCAAAGAAAATGCCTTTGGGGTCCCATAAGTCACTTAGAAATAATAATGTTTTGAAACTATCCAATAAGGAAAACCTCTAGTCTGTTTCATGCTGGTAAACATCAGGATATGTTAAACAGATGTGATAGGTCATATTCTCAAAACTGAAGCCAGAATTATGTAGCTTTTGTTATAGTTACATGGGAAGAAGATAAGAAAATACTTTCTTTAGGAATTCCAAGGCAATTATTATAAACTGACAGAAATAGGAAAAGAAAGACTGACCTTGACTTCAGCACTTTTGACTTTTGACCTCTAGACTTTGGGACAGCCTCTGCTTTTGTGTTTAAATATATTAGTATCCCTAAACCACTGTCGTTCTTGAATTTAGACCTTTATTAGCTGACAGATGAACATGCTTATGCATGGTGGTGCTTGCCCACCAGCCAAAAGTTCAACAACACTCAGTGTTGACTGAGTGCTTATTTGTGTGCTAACTGTCCTATTAGGTAGATAAGATTATTGTGAGCATAGTAGTAAACTGAATGCCAGACATTAACTTGCTCAGAATTGCAGCTAGTAAACTGTAGAGCTGGGATTTGAACACAGGCATTCCGACTGGAGAGCTCAGCCTTTCACTGAGTTCAGATCCCACAGCATCACGATCTTTATGCAGCATTATTTATATTGCCAAGGTTTAGGATTTTACAGCTGTTAGAAACTTTGCCTATGACCTCAGCTCTTGCTGATACTGTTGAGGATAGAAGTGGACAGGGTCATTAATTGTGAAATTATGGTGGGTTGAAATTCTATTTTTGGTGTCTAGGTATGAAATAGCTAGTTGATTAGTTGAACATCTTCAGAGTGCTTCTCTTTACTCATAAATTGGTAAGTTTGGGTAGTGCATTTTTGGTTTTTGAAAACCACCTTGACCTTCCAGAACACCTACTTTATTATTCTTTCTCCTTTTGCTAAAGTTATTCTCTTGTGCTATTATTCTCTTGTGGTTCTGAACAGATGTTGTATCCTCATGTGACTTGGTGAGCCCTAGTGCTTTCTTCTACCATTATTGTTTTAAAATGTTTATAGTGGTTAGGGGATGGGTAGAGTTGGAAGATGGTCAGGTATGGCACTTAATAAATTTTATAGGGGACTTCCCTGGTAGCGCAGTGGTTAAGAATCCGCCTGCCAATGCAGGGGACACGGGTTCAATCCCTGGTCTGGGAAGATCCCACATGCTACAGAGCAGCTAAGCCCATGCGCCACAACTACTGAGCCTGCACTGTAGAGCCCGCGAGCCACAACTACTGAACCTGCAAGCCACAACTACTAAAGCCTGCGCACCTAGAGCCCGTGCTCCGCAGCAAGAGAAGCCACCGCAATGAGAAGCCCGCGCACTGCAACGAAGAGTAGCCTTCACTCACCGCAACTAGAGAAAGCCTGCGCACAGCCCCAGCACAGCCATAAATAAATAAATAGATAGATAAATAAGAATTTGTGTATAAAAAATTCATTTATTAAAATTTTTTTTATAGGATGCAGGAATTGCAAAATAAAAATAGAGGTTTCAAAGTTCCATAGTCTTTAGAATACACGCACACACACATTTACTTTTATGGCACAAGATCCTTTGTTCTAATCTGTGTTACTGACTTGCAGTCTTTTTTTTTTTAATACTTATTTTATTTTTTAAATTTTATTGGAGTATCGTTGATTTACAACGTTGTGTTAGTTTCAGGTGTACAACAAAGAGATTCAGTTACACATATACATATACTCACTCTTTTTTAGATTCTTTTTTCATATAAATTATCACAGGATATTGAGTAGAGTTTGCTGTGCTATACAGTAGGTCCTTGATGGTTCCTGACTTGCAGTCTTGCTCTAGCCTGAATCAGGTGTAACATATTTCCCAGCTGTGTTTCCTGAATGATAGTCACTTCTTTGGTGTGTTAGGACATTTCCCTTCCCATGTGTGGCCAGACTCCAGGTAATTATTCTGTTATAGTTCGTTATTAGAACTTCCCAGGTCTTCAGTCAGATGTTGTATGTATTCTGAGCCTTCTGTTAGGCCGTGTTAGCTCAGTGAGTCTTGTCCTTTGCCCGGCCGGGACAGGGCATCTTGGTGAGTGAAGATTATCTTGCCTTTCTGTAGAAAAGTCACTTGGCACAACCTGTTTTCTCCTGTTCTGAAATTATGACCGTTTAAAAAGCTCTTAGACTTTTAAATTCTAAAAACATTTTAAACTTAAAAAGACAGATGTTAATGCACAGAACATTCCTGGAAGAATGCATAGAGTAGAGGGTAGTGTGAGCATAGGGCAAGATAAGAGACTGATAATTCTTTTCATGTTATACTTGTATGAACTATTGGATTTTTTTTTTACTATGACATGTATTATTTTTATTATTTAAGACATAACTTTTTTTAAAGATCAGATACTGTATGGTTTCATTCAGATAACGTTCTTTTTTATATAAATTTATTTATTATTTTAAAAAATTATTTATTTATTTTTGGCCGTGTTGGGTCTTCGTTGTTGCGCGCGGGCTTTTCTCTAGCTGCTCTGAGCCGGGGGGTGGGGGGGTGGGGCCACTCTTCGTTGCGGTGCGTGGGCTTCTTGTTGCCTTTCTGGCACCTAAGTCCAGCTCTTACTAAAAAATTGCTCAGATGTAAACCGAGTGTTTGAAACATTTCCTTGAGGGCAGAATATTCTTGTCCATGTTCTTTCCCCCTAATAAACAGTGATGACTGGCGCACAGCCTTCTCAGCAGGGCAGATGGCCAGGGAACACATTTGGTTTGGGATGATTTACCAAGACCAAATGCAGCAGGCTTAGCCTGGTGGTGTTGAGGCAGTCAGTGCTGGAACTACCCCAGTGCACGCCTGATGGTGGGTGTAAATCGGGTTTTAAAGGTGCATACTTCCTTTTCATTCTTTTGTTCATGCTCTTGCTTCTGTCAGAGCATCTGATTAATACTTTAATTAAAAATACTGCACTTAGTATCTTCTTGAGAATTAGGAGAAACCAGTTGGCCATTTGGGGTATGTTTTTTGTGTGTTCACTGAAGGGATTGGATTGTGGCAAGGTAGTAAAGAAAAGAAAAATAAATTTCAAATTTGTTCTTTGTCTCCTTAGGATCAATGAGCTATCTGTACTTATATAGTTTCTTGCTCTAAGAGTTCTGTCTAGAGAAATTGAGGCAATGAAGGGTGCAGACCTTCAGAGCCAGACTGAGCTGGGTTTCACTCTCTGCTATGATTTTGTCAATTAACCTACCTCCCTGAGCCTCTTCTGTAAT